CATAAGAGTGAAACCATATGGTATCTGTCTTTCTCTGTATGACTTATTTCACTTAGCATAACACTCTCCAGTTCCATCCATGTTCCTTCAAAGGGTCATATTTCATTCTTTCTCATTGCCATGTAGTACTCCATTGTGTATATAAACCACAATTTCTTTATCCATTTATCAGTTGATGGACATTTAGGCTCTTTCCATAATTTGGCTATTGTTGAGAGTGCTGCTATAAACATTGGGGTACAAGTGCCCCTATGCATCAGTACTCCTGTATCCCTTGGGTAAATTCCTAGCAGTGCTACTGCTGGGTCGTAGGGTAGGTCTATTTTTAATTTTTTGAGGAACCTCCAAACTCTTCTAGAGCGGCTGCACCAGTTTGCATTCCCACCAACAGTGCAAGAGGGTTCCTGTTTCTCCACATCCTCTTATGGGTGCAATTTTAAGCATACTGTCATTCATGTATGTAAAAATTATTGGTATTATTTTTGTCTATGAATCATCCATCTTGGGGGCTATTTTTCTTCTCTCTCTCTGTTTTAAATAGGCTCCATGCCCAATGTGGGGCTTAAACTCAGACCCTGAGTCGCATGCTCTACCAACTGAGCCATCCAGGTGCCCTAAGGTGCCATTTTTCTTTTTTTTTTTTTTTAACACTTATTTATTATTGAAAGACAGAGAGAGACAGAGCACGAGCAGGGGAGGGACTGAGAGATGGGGAGATAACAGAATCCAAAGCAGGCTCCAGGCTCTGAGCTGCCAGCACAGAGCCGGACGCGGGGCTTGAACTCACAAACCACAAGATCGTGACCTAAGCCTAAGTTGGAGGCTTAACTGACGGAGCCACCCAGGTGCCCCAAGGTGCCATTTTTCTTAAATACTGCTGATCTTTACCTGAATTTCTCATAGGCCAGATACATAACTGGAAGATGCAAATGAAATCAAATAATACTCTTCATACTTTGTACCTAGAAATTTTGCATGCATCGCATTAAAAAATAAAATAATGCCTTGCTTTTCTAACAAAGAAGAGTTTTCATTTATTCCTAAATGATACATTCTTAGTCTTAATTCTATTAAATACTTGATTACTTTTAGTAAAATTTGCACAAAGTATGAAGAACAGTATTCCCTGGGATAACAAAGGTTTACCTTCCGAAAAAGTCTTTGACTTCCACCACCAGCAGATGTTGGGTAGTAAATGTAAACATTATGATCCTCTGCACTGACTGGCTTTTCTACAAATGGCTTTTGAAAAACTTCACCATTTACTTCTACATGATCTTCACCTTCAATCAGATTGCACTCTAGAAGTCAAACAGAACATCAGGAAAAATTACATACTGTATATTATCTGGAAATAGTATTATTATTGAAGTTTTTACTACAATGGAGATTACAAAGAAAAGTAAGCTTGGATAATATATGATTTGATTTTAGTTAAAACTATTTATGCAAACAACATACATCAACATCTATGATCTATGACATTAAAAACTATAGCTTTTCTTCAAAATCTTATGAATCTGTCATTTCACCTTATCAATCCACAGAATACAAAGTTAGATAGGAAATGACACCAACAAGAAAGACTGAGAAATAATTTTAGAACGCTATCATCTTCTGAAAAATGTAAGGGATCATTTGTATCACAGATACTATAAAACATGAAATTATTCAGGTTACTAAAGTAACCTATACAAAGTAAGCAAGCACTCTAATTAGGAAGTTATTTTTTTACCTCTAGACAAATGAGGGAAGTTCCCTATTACAGATAATAAATGTTATATTTTGTTTTTAATAAAAGTTGCTTTTAGATACAATAAAATCATCAGAATTCCCTAAAATACTCTTATCAGAACATTAAATCTTAATGCAGATAAACATTTATCTTGGTTTTTTTAGACTGCTATATATAACTTACATGTTATGTTTTAGATAACCAGAAAAATGAAGCAAAGGGTGCTTTAAGACATTAGTAGGTAATAAGATTTCAAAATTCCTAGTCATCAGAAATTTAATCACAGCATTCTAGTGTGAAGTTTCTAATGCTTAATTCAAGAGTCAGAGATAAATCACTTGTTTACACTAATCAATACAAATTTATTAAGCACATAATTTAAAAATTCTTCTTTACATTTCCCAAATAGATGTCAAATGCAAACCAAAGAAAAGTAGGATATATAACTCTTAAATTATTACTGGGTCTTTTAGCTTATAGTGCTACACTTCAACTGAACATAATACTTAATTGGTTCATTTCTTTAAAAAAAAGTAAACAAAATACTATGAATTCTTCAAATTCCTTCTACTTAATTATAGAAGGGAAGTGGCTCAAAAGTATGTTGAGTGACAAAAGGCAGCTCGCTCAAAATCTCTTACTCTTACCTTTGGGATTATTTGGGTCACGATTCAAAATTGCGTAACGTGGAAGTAAAATACCTTCAGCCTGAAGAATACTGTATACTTCTCTCCTGAAAAAAAGGGAAAACATCCTGTATTGTTTTATTCTATTTCACAAGTACATTATTACTACTGTATTACTAAAAAGGCATGGATATCAAGCCTTATTTTTTAAATAAAAAATTTGTCATTTAAAGTATCAAAAAAATATGTATTCAAAGGAAATATTATGCAATATTAAAACAAAAATGTCTGCACAATACTTTATGTGGCATAATAAAATACTAACATTTAAAATTGGGAATGTAAATGTATAAAAAGAAATGGTCAAATAAAGTTGCTATAAGCAATGACAGAATATTACCTAACCATTAAAAACTTTATACCTAAAGAATATTTAATGGCACGGGAAAATGTTCATTGTATTGTGTGTAAATGTGTAAATGTAAATGTGTAAAATGTAAATGTGTAAAATGTAAGTCCATGTACATATTGCTTTCTATATGAAAAAAATATGATAGATACGGTGGCAGGGTAAAATCCTTTCTTGATGCTTTTATTTTCCAAATTTCTTAAAGTAAATATGCATTTTCATATATATGTATATAACATATAAGCATGTATTAATATGGAAAACTAGGAAAAATGTTTTAAAGTTTTAGATATCAATAATGTCACTATCTGGAAGAACAGAATACCAGAAACAAAAAACCATAAGGCCTTATAGTTTATAAAGTGTTTTCATACATATAATCTCATATTGTAATGTTCACGTAAAGGAAAATCAAATGTTGGTGAAATCATAAGGGTAGCCATCAGAGTGAAACATCAAACAATATAAATAAATATATTTGTATTTTACAGTGTCTCTTGGAAATCCATGCTTTTGACCTGTAAAATGAATGCTAATATAGTGAGGTATTTTTCAAAACAGTTGCACTTTACCATTAAAAATAATCTAGTATAGCCCTAATTTCATCATCAGTCATCATGACAGAGATGTTGTTCATAATTTTCAGTGGTTCAGTAGACTCCAGAAATTAAATAAATCTGGTTTAAGTCCTCGTCCCACTATTTGCAGGACTACTTGTGACTTTGGGCAAATCGATTCATCTCCCTGATTTTCAAGATTCTTCATCTACAAAATTGGGTATAAATACCTATTCTTAAGTATTATTTAGAAGATACCAAAAATTAACGTATATGAAAACACCTGATGCCGTATCGCTTACAGTATATCCTAAATAAATGTTAATTTTCCTTCCCTTATTCAGCCATCTCCATCACTCACCTATCTTGTATGAGATACTGCATATTCAAGTCATTGATTACAAATGGATTCCTGAGTTTTGCATAGGCAACTGCTTTGTCCAGTGGAAATCCTAAGAACACATATTATTAACATATTCTGTACAATCTCAAGGTAAGTTGACATCTATAACTTTATCAATTTGAATTTATGCCATTTCTGATAAAAGGTTAGTTTTATTATCACTACTTTCCATATAAATCATGGAAAAATAAACACATAAAACTTAACGTACTATTAATAAGTCTTATTTTTTCCTAGTTAATTTGATTGATAAGGCACAATAAGCTAGTGGTTATATAACCAAATTTAGAGCACTGACACATTAGTCAACACCTGATTATTCAAAGTCACTGATAAAAAGTTAAGATTACCTCATACACAAACAGAAATCTATATATAAATAAATATATCACAATCACTTGGTGATTTTTAAAATATATATAACTTTCTCACTTTTTAAATTTGATATCTATACATATAAATTGTTGATAATTCAAAGAATTTATGCATCTTTAAAATAGCAAAAACAAAAGTTAATTCTCTTGCAAAGATATGCTCTAAATATAAAGTATATGAGTAGAATCATACTTGCTGTTACTAGGTCAACGTTATCAGAAATTAACTCAAAAATTACTAGCCTTTGGTAAAATTACTAATTACAAGGAAAATAAATCAAATGGCAGATATAGTAAGAGGCCTAAAGTATCTAAAGCATTTTAATGATTCTACTATGCTGTCTGTATCGACGCTAAAAGCTCCAGTTTTATCCATCAATACCTATTACTTAGAGATGGTAAGGCAGTATTCCCTAAAGGTTAATATAACAGGGTCCAAAGTCCTGGCTCCATCTTTCATTAGCTACGTGATTTCGGGCAAATTTACCTAAAATCTCTCAGCCCCTGATTCACAACTATAAATGGGTATTTTGACAGTCTTACCTAGTACAGTTTTTGGAGGAACTCCATCAAGGAGTATACATAAAACACTTAGCACAGTACCTGACATAATAAGCTCCCAATAAATATTATTATTCCTTAAATGAAAATATTTTAATGAATATCTAATTGAAGAAATAGAGTAAAAATCATTAGGTATGCATAACTTTAGAATTTAACTATAGCATACTATAGTATACCTGTGAAGACACTGTGTTTTGTAGCATTATCGGAACAGTTGGAGAAGTTAAGTACTAAGGCATACTGATGTTAAAAAAAACTAAACAAAAAACCAGTCAGTTAAAAAAGACTTATTCCTAAATTCCTTTTAGTTTTTAAAATGTAATGAAAGTACTCTACCTAGAATCACCTGGCCACAAATTATAAACCCTTCTACTTTTGTAAAGACTCTCAGAAGAATTCATCACTTGTCATAAAGATATCTCGAGGTCTATGATTTTACGTTTCCTAACAGAACTCAGCATATAGGAACCCTTATTCAGTTCCCTGCTTTTGTTGTTGTGGTTAAAGAGGACATTTCCCTTACCAAGAGACAGCATATGGGATATCACCTTGGAGAGCACCTAGTTTTTACAAGCAAATAAATAGCTCTGTAGGAAGAACCATGTAGTAGTAAGGGAAGAAACCTTACCCTCAAAGATAAGCTAATTTTCATATTCTCTGAAATAAAGGACTTCAGTTTATAAAGACCAGGGCCTTGGCTTCTCTATAGGCTATAGGAGCACAAGAAGTCTCAAACATGCTCCACCCCTTTCTGGCTGAAGACGTTTCTTGAATACCTAAGTAAAGTGAAACTTTAACACAGCTAGAGATTACATATTTTGGTAACAAGTTTGCTTTAATGTGAATTCATTTATAACTGAGTACTTATCTTTTAAATTATAGTTCTTAGTAAGAAATACATTTAATTCACAGATAACTGGGTAATAAAAATTTCAGATATTCACTAATAATTTTGATTAGTGGGTTTTACTATGAAGGCATACTTCACCATCAAGTAATACTGAAGTTTAATTATATTTCACTTTGGTTTATAAAAGAAACCGAGTAAAGTCTAAAATTCAAATATTAAGCGCCTCAGAAATAAAATATAAATATGTATATGAGGAAACATCATTTTCTATATGACAAAAGCATAGACCTTAAAATATTCAATAATTCAAGAATTCATTCTAAATAACTTAGAGTAACAAAGATATACTTTCAAAGGATTCATCAACCTATTTTTCACTATTTTTAATAGTGAAAACCGGACACTAATTGTTAAGATACTGGCTAAATGTTATAGTATATCCTCATGATGACAAGCTAAGATGTCATTGAAAATCAGGTCTCTGAAGAATGTAATGAAAGGAAAATAAACCTCGATATAGTTAATGGAAAATTAAATATAAAATGACATATACACTGTAATAGTAAATTTGTTTTTAAAAAATACACAGAGGAAAAATGGCTGAAAAGAAATATATCAAAATGTTAGCAACACTGATCTGTGAGAGTGGGTAGGTTTAATTTTATTTTTCTAATTTACCTAATAATCTACAATTAGTATGTATTGGTTTTATTATAAGAGGATAAAAGTAGTTCCCACCCCATTCTTTAATACCTTTAGAATGGAAAGAAATAAGACAATCACATAAAGGCCAGTTTTCTACTGGTTCATTCAAAATAACATCTTCTTCAAATACTACTACTGTGATATATTTAAATAAGGAGATCCGTTCAAGAATTTCCTTCATTGGTTTGGATTTGGATTTCTTTGCCATGGAACATATTCCAACCACAATCTGTCTTTCCGGTGGCTAAAACAGAAGGAAAACAAAACAAAAAAAATCAGGTTGACTCAATACGAACTGCAAAGTAGAGCTATTTTAAATCTTGTTCAGAAGTAGATGAGGGATGTGATTAATACAAATGACACACTAACCAAAAAAGGCATTTTTCAAAATTACATTGTTATTATAATAAATAACAAATAGTTGTTTACAAAGGTTTGGAAAAAATTCTAAAACAATACACTTTCAGGACATCGTTACTATTTTCATTCTGATTTTAAACTTAAACAAATACTCCTTTCTTGACTGTCTTCAACACTTGTTGTTCTCCTTACAAAAGAAAGGGGAAAATAAGGGCCAAAACTTATCTAATCCAAGTAAAAAGACCAATAAGAGTGAGATAAAGAATTCTCTTGCCTAAAATAAGATGTTCTGACTACAAAGCTGTATTACAGTGTTGAACTATTTTTGGAGACTGAGCTTGAATAGGAGTTGGTCACCAATGACAACTTGGAAGAAAATTTTGGAGAAAGCCAAACTGCTAACAGAGGTGTCAATGCTCTTTGAAGCTCCTATCTTTATACTCAATATTCCCATTAATGGTGTTGCTCATCTCTGGCACCCCTACTATAGCTCAAAGGCCATGGTTCATCCTGAGACTAAAAAAAGGAGGAGACAGAAATAATTTATGAGCAGCTCACAGGTTTACAAAATCACTCAAGATTCATTCTGAGGTCTCTGCATTTAAATAGTTAATAATTTATCAAATAAATAAAGCTGTGTCTAGTTTTTCTTTTTAGTTCTCCCCCTTCCATATTTTATATATTTCAGATGACAATATAATCCATGCTCAAGTGTTTTACTAGACTCTCTCTTATAAATCTAAAAATAAAATAGGATAACATCAGATTTAAATTGCTATTCTTTATGCCTAAAATTAGATTTCCTCATTGCCTCTTCTAACTCATAAAATCTAGAGGTCAAATTGGTATTGAATTTGATTGTAAATCCTAACCTTCCCAGGATTTGCTGTCTTTCCACCTTGATTATCCACTTTTATGTTCTCTTATTCAATTATTTCCTGATCAAAAGCCTCTATCCAGCTCATGATGTTCCTAATGAATATTTCCCTAGCCAACAAAAGTACTCAAGCTAAACCATCAACAAAACAAAAAAGGCAACCTATTGAATGGGAGGAGAAACTTGCAAATGATGTATCTATTAAGGGGTCAACTTCTAAAATATACAAAGAACTCCTACAACTCAACATCAAAAAAACCCAAATAATCCAATTAAAAAATGAACAGAGGACCTTAGTCGGACATTTCTCCAAAGAAGACATACAGATGGGCAAAAGATTCATGAAAAGATGGTCGACAACACTAATCATCAGGAAAATGTAAATCAAAACCACAATGACACATCACTTCGCACTTGTCAAAATGGCTAGTATCAAAAAGACAACACGTAACAAGAGTTGGCAAGGATGTGGAGAAAAAGGAATCCTCATGCACCGTTGGTGGGAATGTAAACTGGAGCAACCACTGTGGAAAACAGTATGGAGGTTCCTCAAAAACTTAAAAATAGAGGGGCGCCTGGGTGGCGCAGTCGGTTAAGCGTCCGACTTCAGCCAGGTCACGATCTCGCGGTCCGTGAGTTCGAGCCCCGCGTCGGGCTCTGGACTGATGGCTCAGAGCCTGGAGCCTGTTTCCGATTCTGTGTCTCCCTCTCTCTCTGCCCCTCCCCCGTTCATGCTCTGTCTCTCTCTGTCCCAAAAATAAATAAAAAAAAAACAAAAAACAAAAAAAAAACCTTAAAAATAGAAATACCATATTACCTACTAATCCTACTTCCGGGTATTTACTAAGAAAATAAAAACACTAATTCAAAAAGATATGTTTACTGCATCATTATTTACAACAGCCAAGATATGGAAGCAACCTAAGTGTCCA